CACCTGTACTGTTTTGCGTTGATAATACTTGCTGAGAATAGCAGAATTCTTGTTGAGAATACTGCTGCTTGGTGGATGTAGAAATGGTTTTGTGGACACCAAACATATACATGTTTATTAAATGAAAATAAATAACTAAGAACTTTAGTAATTCTGAGGAAAAAAAGTCAGAACTCTGACCTGTTAAATATTTTTTCAGTGGCTCTGACCGTCTTTTGTAAACAACAGATCTTAAGTTAATAAAATGAACAGAAACAGAAAACAGGAAGTGCAGTTTTGAGGTTAAATCAAACCTTGGTTTGTTGCAGAGTCATGCTGTGAAAAAAAAAACAGGATGAAAACTGACTAACAGGTCAAATAAAATATTAGTGACAAACAAAAGAGAAGTTACAGAAACTAAAACAATAAAACATAAAGCTGCACAAAGATTATTGACGTTAGAACATCAACACGAGAGAAAAATGATGAAATAAGAATAAAAGTAAATCATTTTGGTGCAAATAACTCAAATAACTGAATCCATTCTTTAAGACTTTAAAAATCAGCTCATCCTGCAGGTAAAACTCCCACCTGATCGTAGAAGATGACCATGACAAAGACCCCGAACAGCACCGACTCCACCAGCAGGATGATGTAATGAGCACTGAGACACAAACAACAACACAGATTAACTCTGGACCCTGGTTCTGATGGACCCTGGTTCTGATGGACCCTGGCTCTGATGGACCCTGGCTCTGATGGACCCTGGCTCTGATGGACCCTGGCTCTGATGGATCCTGACTCTGATGGATCCTTTTTCTGATGGACCCTGGTTCTGATGGACCCTGGTTCTGATGGACCCTGGCTCTGATGGACCCTGGTTCTGATGGACCCTGGTTCTGATGGACCCTGGCTCTGATGGATCCTTTTTCTGATGGACCCTGGTTCTGATGGACCCTGGTTCTGATGGACCCTGGCTCTGATAGACCCTGGCTCTGATGGACCCTGGTTCTGACGGACCCTGGCTCTGATGGATCCTTTTTCTGATGGACCCTGGTTCTGACGGACCCTGGCTCTGACGGACCCTGGTTCTGACGGACCCTGGCTCTGATGGACCCTGGTTCTGATGGACCCTGGTTCTGATGGACCCTGGCTCTGATGGACCCTGGCTCTGATGGACCCTGGTTCTGATGGACCCTGGCTCTGATGGACCCTGGTTCTGATGGACCATGGTTCTGATGGACCCTGGCTCTGATGGACTCTGGTTCTGATGGACCCTGGTTCTTATGGACCCTGGTTCTGATGGATCCTGGTTCTGATGGACCCTGGCTCTGAACTCACACGATCAGGTGTTTGCTGGGCGACTCCTCTCCTTCCTTCTCCGCCTCTCCTTCCCGCTCGTTGCGGATCCTCCACAGCCACGCCCACACCACCAGGACCATGGAGTACAGACTGGCCATGCCTGCGACAGTAACAGGTCTCAGCAACACAAAGTACTGCAGAGTACACAAAGTACACAGATACTGAGTATTTCCTCACCTGTGTAGAAGAGAAACTGGATGAAATACTTCTGGTTCAGCTCCCCGACACAGTTGTTGATCCTGAAACAGAAAGTAAGGCAGGATGAGAAGATGTTGAAAAATAAAAATAAAAAGGAGGAGGTGTGGGGTCCTCCTCACCAGGGGCAGTGGTGGTCCATGCGGCGTATACACCTCTGACAGACCCTGCAGTGGTGCGCTCTGGGAGGTCTGTAGGTTTCACAGCGACTGCAAACCGTCCAGCCCTCACAGCCCTGAAACCGAAAAACAAGTCTGACATTTTCAAAACCTGCAGGAAGAAGTTAAAAACATGAGTCATAACAGCTAACAGCTAACGGCTAACAGCTAACGGCTAACAGCTACATATAAGTGCAGAGAAAAGCATCTGCAGCAGAAGTTCATGTGTCTAAAGCTTTAATCTCATGGTTCCACAGCGTGAGGTCAGACAGGATAACAACAGAGGCTCTGAGGTAAACACAGATAATAACAGTTCAAGGTAAAACTACGATCTCCTCCTCCGTCTTCACGACCGCTCAGTTTCTGTTCTCAGCTGTGAAACACAGAGCTGAAGCTGCTGGAAGGAAAAGAGTTAAATCAGGAGAAAATGAACCGACCCGATCGTTCATCCGAGACGACTGTGAGCGCAGATCTGAGAAATCTAAGGCCGTCTCCGGCAGAGGCACCATACCTGAAAACAAACAAACAAACATCAACGCAATAAACATAACAACAAACATGAAAACATAAACATGAAAACAACAAACATAACAACAAACATGAAAATATAAACACGACAACAACAAACATCAAAACAAAAAACATAACAAACATGAAAACATAAACACAACAACAAACATAACAACAAACATGAAAATATAAACATGAAAACAACAAACATAAAAATATAAACATGAAAACAACAAACATAACAACAAACATGAAAATATAAACACGACAACAACAAACATCAAAACAAAAAACATAACAACAAACATGAAAACATAAACACAACAACAAACATAACAACAAACATGAAAATATAAACATGAAAACATAAACACGACAACAACAAACATAACAACAAACATGAAAACAAACACAACAACAACAAATATCAAAACATAAACATGAAAACAACAAATATCAAAACAACAAACATCAAAACAACAAACATCAAAACATAAACATGAAAACAACAAACATCAAAACAAACATGAAAACAACAAACATCAAAACATAAACATCAAAACAACAAACATCAAAACAAACATGAAAACATCAAACATGAAAACAACAAACATCAAAACATAAACATAAAAACAACAAACATCAAAACATAAACATGAAAACAACAAACATGAAAACATAAACATGAAAACAACAAACATGAAAACATAAACAACAAACACAACAAATATCAAAACATAAACATGAAAACAACAAACATRAAAACATAAACAYGAAAACAACAAACATGAAAACATAAACAACAAACACAACAAATATCAAAACATAAACATGAAAACAACAAACATRAAAACATAAACAYGAAAACAACAAACATGAAAACATAAACAACAAACACAACAAATATCAAAACATAAACATGAAAACAACAAACATGAAAACATAAACACGAAAACAACAAACATGAAAACAACAAATAATGAAAAAACAACCTCATAAAAAGTTTTGTTTTTCCAAATAAAAGTATTTTTTTAAATTATGTCCAGTGTTAAATCAGGACATCTGAGTTTTGGTTTCAGAACTGAAAACTGGTCCGGGTTCTTCCGAGTTTCAGGGTCAGAACCTCCACATTCATAGTTTAATTTTGAGGATTTATAAAGTTTTTGAAGACAGATTTTAAAGTTTAAGATACTTGTAGGAAACATGTTTTCAAAAGAGTTCACTGACCCGGATCTGAGAAGACGGCTTTGGAGTGGCAGGCCAGCAGCAGCAGCAGAACCAGGTTGAAGATGGATCCATGAAGAAAACACCAAACACTGATCAACAGGAGAAACATCACTTAAAGCAACAAATACACACATTTAACCCTCTCTTTAGGCTTTAACATTAAGTTATTACATTCAAATATTTCTTGAGCTTAAAAAAGTCATGATGTAGTGAAATATTCTTATATGATGTTAATTTATGGTACAGCATCAAAACAATAGTTTCAACACCTCATTATGTAGATTTAATTAACCAGATGTTATTTTTTGAATATATCATGATAAAAATAGTTATGGAAATCGACTTCAAAATCAACAAAACGTTGTTTTTTTGTGATAAATTTGATTTCCGTAGAGGAAAAACGATGCTGCTGTCAGACCTGTTACACTTGCTGTCAGATGAATGGAGGAAGCGAACAGAAACAGACGCCATGTCGGCTGTTTTAACCGCTTCAGCCTGGCTAAAACTCACAAACACTGACCTGTCCGAGTAGGCGGGGATCAGGACGTACTGTATGACCACGTAGTCTGCGTAAAACACACTGAAATACGTTAAGATCAGGCAAATTATCCCACAAGGATCGCGCCTACAGCGCAGCGACGCCATCTTCTTTGGAGCTCCGCCCCCTCCCCCCGCGCTTAGTATTTTCCGGTGACGAAACCTGAAGACGCATTCAGGGATCGTAGGAAATGATGCAATCGATTTAAAAACTACCAACTGAACACGAACACTTAAAACAAGAGTGTTTTTATAACGTGAGCTTTTTTATAATCCTTTTTAATAACTTATGTTTGAGGTTAAGAATTTTATGTTAATATTAAAAAAAAAACATATTAGAACAACCAGGAAGAGTTTTTGTTTATCAGTGTGTGGAGTAAATGTCTGGAATGAATTGAATGATGAGTTAAAAAAAATTACAAATGTAAACCAATTTAAAAAACTGATTAAAGCAGAGCTCATTTCAAAATATGCTTTATAAGATGTTTAATGTTCAATAGTCTATAATGTAACTGATGATATAAATAGTACTTAAAACAATTCTACATAGTTAAACATGATGTAAAATGGAAACAAGTTGTCTCTTTTTGATGTTCTGAAAGTTAATTGATAATACACTGACAAGTAGGAAAGGGGCAGGACATTATAAACTTCCACCTGCTCCTTTTCCAACAGAAAATATAAAATTTTGCATGTCACATGGGCAAAATAATTTGTATTACATTTTATTTCTTAAGTTTGCTTCATTCTATTTTATTTTTCTCTTCTTTTTGATTGTTTTAATGNGATAGATAGATAGATAGATAGATAGATAGATAGATAGATAGATAGATAGATAGATAGATAGATAGATAGATAGATAGATAGATAGATGAGTCACATGGTGGCAGCACACACCCTCCTGTGGATGACTGACTTTTGTCGCTCCTCCCTTGAAGTAGTCAGGCAGTCTCCAGCTCGTCATCCTCCTCGTCTGTTTGCTCTCAACACTTTTCCTGCAGAGACTTTCTGTCACAGTTCGACTTCATAGTTTTTCCGCTTCATTCTGTTGCAAAGAAACCCGCCTTCAAGTCGGAATTATCCCCTCACTTCGAAGTTGAACCCGGTTTTTTTCCTCTAAAGGGAGGTTTTAGCGAACAAGCGCGAAGAGGAGACAGAAGAAGAAGAAGAAGAAAGCCGGAGTCCCAGAAGAAGAAAACAGAGGAACCTGGAGGAGGCAGAAGGTCGAAGACACCATGGAAGTTCCTGGTATGCAGGTAAGCTGAAGGTGGACTCGGTGTTTTTGTTTCACCTGGAGGGGTTTGTACGGTTTTTGGGGGTAAATGTGAGCAAACTGAAACAGCGAAGCAACAAGGAAGGAGGGATTGTGCAACGACAGGCCACTTCCGATGTGTTTTCACCTGAACACAAAACCTTCATTCTCCACACCCAGTCACAGAAAGGTTCCCATACAAACTTACTTTTCACAGACTTTAAAACACTTTTAAGACTGTACGTGTTAAGTTTGACTTAAAACATACATTAGTTTGAAAACTCCTTGAATTCTTTATATACCCGTTTGTTGTCTGGCTGTTCCTCAGTATTTGTGTTATTGTGTTTATGTTCATTAAATACCCTCATCTTGTGTTCTTTGGCACTTTGGGCTTCATCATATAGTTTAAGACGGCCTACATTACTGATAAATGACATAAATATACTTATAAAGACCTATATTTGCATTTAAAATGTGCAAATGAAGGTGAACAGTTTATGTTTGTCAGCTTTAATGTTTATGTTGTCTGATGCTCCAGATTGAGTTTACATTTATTTCATAATGTATAATCCTTAAGTACCAAACACACACATTTCTTCCAGATTTCTTTTTGTTGACTTCTTTTTAGAAGACCATTCATATTGAGGCTTGCTACTTAAAAACTGATTTTATTGGGGTGGATGAATTTTAAAAAGTAATCTAATATGTTGTAGCTTCTTTTTGTTCTTTTTGTGAGTTAGTATTTTTACTAATGACATTGAATTTTCCTTGACTACTTCCTACTTTTGCAGTTTTGGTCACTTCGACACAGGCTTTTGTGGGTAATAAAGAAGCCACTTCCCACTGGTCTTTTTGTACCCATTATGGATTTTTTCATATTTTTTTTGTACCCATCATGGCCCTCTGTGCTTGTATTGTGGTGTTTGCTGGTTGGACTTTGGTAAAACATTGAGTCAGAATCTCTGGGTCAGAGCGATAAATTAAAGAACAATTAGATATCAAGATGAAGAGGGTTGAGGATCCAAACGTTTATTTTAAAGTTGAACAAAGGTTGGAGTTGGGGCTAGGAGAACAAGGCGAGGGAGTAGATAATGGAAATGCAATGCCAGTAGGCCTCATGCGTACAGAAGTGGTGACAGCTGAGTGTCAAATGGGAAATACTCAATGGTACCTTCTAGTCAGTGTGTAAATCAGGAGCTTTATAACAATACAATGTTATCCCAATTTGTTTGAATGATGATACGATGTTTCTCTACATCATGATTCAGTTTTGATTAAAATTCACAAGTCTGTGTAATATCATATGCCCATCTAACACAATCATATGATATCAGAATATGATGACGATATGGATTCATGTTTTTGTTTTAGCTTGCAGTAAAAAAATCATTAATCATTTAATTGATACAGTATATTGATGTGGACCAATGTATTGTTACACCCCTAGAAAATGGTAGATGCCAGGTGAAAATGGTAGATGCCAGGTAAAAATGGTAAATGCCAGGTAACAAATGGTAGATAGATGCCAGGTAGAAACTGGTAGACGCAAGGTAGCAAATAGATGGTGGACGCCAGGTAGCAAATGGATGGTAGACGCCAGGTAGCAAATGGATGGTGGACGCCAGGTAGCAAATGGATGGTAGACGCCAGGTAGCAAATGGATGGTAGACGCCAGGTAGCAAATGGATGGTAGACGCTAGGTAGCAAATGGATAGTAGACGCCAGGTAGCAAATGGAT